CACGGTTTGATTGCGTGAAAAATGCAAGCGGACGAATTCCCACCCCCTCTACAAACCGAAGCTTATTTTTTTGTTTTTTTTTCAAACCCTGCAAAAGGGAAAGGAGGAGGGGAGGGGAAATTCCTTCATTTGGTTTTATATTAGTTTTTTGAAAGCTTGCACAACCGGCAGAGATATTTATTTAAATTAACTTTGGGCTTTATTGGAGCCTCATTGGAAGGACTCCGATCCCGGGGAATTATATGTCAGCAAAAATGTGGAGTTGTTTTTTTTTTTTGCTCTTTCGAGGTCAAAAGTTTTATCGTTTGGCTCTCAAGCTCTAAGTTAAAAAAGAAATTCCATTTTTTTTGCATCGAAAAAATAAAAATGACAGGGCCTCCAAGAGATAAGCAAATGCCGTTTTCGGCGTGGTTTCTAATATAGCTAAGACTTCTGAGAGTTCGCTTAGTGACCATTACATCGGCACTGAAAAATGTGGACGGATGGCCGTTTTTCACAGTTAACGAACTTTGTCCCCAGGATCTGACGGTTGGCAACTGGTTTCGGAGTTATGACCGTTGCAGTGTGTGTCCCAAAGTCACGCGATTCCCCTCTGGCCACCTTCTGTCGAGCAAAGTCAAGGGGAAAGCCAGATTCACTTAACAACCAGGTTACTAACTTAACAGCTGCAGTGATTCTCTTAGCAACGGCGGCAAGAGAAGTCGTAAAATGGGGGCACTTAACAAATGTCTCACTTAGCGACAGGCTTTCAAGAAAAGAAACTGGACTGCCATTTGTCAGAAATGGTGTAGGGTCTCTTGCTTGGGCAGGGGGTTGGACTAGATGACCTACAAGGTCCCTTCCAACTCAGTCCCACTTAACAACGGAAATTTGTCTCGCTTAACAAATGTCTCGCTTAGCAACAAACGTCTGGGGCTCAATTGTGGTCGTAAGCCGAGGAGTACCTGCAGACTGCGGAGTGTTCCGAATTAGCTCTCCCTTCCCCTTTGTTTCCCGAAAATTAAATTTGAAAAGATTGGAACATTTTTTCCCCCTCTGCTGATTAAATTCCAACTTTGCATTTATAGACAGGAAAAAAGGCGGTTGTTAAGTGAGTCCTGTCTGGTTTTATTACCCGCCCCCTTTTTATTTGGCCATGGTTGTTAAGCGAATCCAGCTTCCCCCAATATCCTATTGTGCAGGGTATAGAAAACAAAAAAGAAGCATAAAAGCTTTCTTTGCCGCTCATATTAAAAGCCAAGGTGGCAGATACAAGGATTTTCTTTCTACTGGGTGCAGCTCCGGCTATGGAACTCCCTGCCACAAGATGGCAATTATGGACAGCTCAAAAAGGCCGGCCTGTAACACGCCTGCTCTCTTCAAAAACAGTCCTTAGGAGAAACTGGATGCTGAAATGGAGAATTTGCAGCGTGGTAAGGCAGCTTTGGCATTAGCAGACCCTATCCAAATAATAAAACGGGGAATAAGAGTCCCTTGGGAGTTGGGCGGCATAGAAATGCGACAAAATAAATAAATAAATAAATAAAATTTTAACCCTGCTGTTGGTTTGCCTGTTAACTCTCTTTTCTCATATGTAAGTAGATAGAGGGCAGGTTAAATTGGTTAGAAGTTTATAAAAAGTTTTTATTTTATAAAAAGTTTATAAAAGCTTGATGAATGTAATTTATTCTCCTTACGTACACTGAGAGCATATGCACCTAAGACAAATTCCTTGTGCGTCCAATCTCACTTGGCCAATAAAGAATTCTATATTGAAAAGTAGGCCTGCTTTGCAACGAAGAGGGAAACTTATTACTGCAATATATATATATATATATAAATATATATATATATATATATATATATATATATATATATATATATATATATATATATATATATATATATATATATATATATATATTTATCCATCTTCAACTTTGGGGGGGGAACGACACAATATATGTATATGTGTTTTTTGTCTCTCGTCTTTTACAATGCACTTTTGAAATTGTCAGTTCCGGCTTTTTTGTGTGTGTGTGCAAAATGTTCTTTTTGTTTGCAGCTCGTATTTTAACTTTCTGACTAAAATAAATTATTGGGAGTGGGTGGTGGGGGAGAAAGAACAATGCAACAGGGACACACCTCCACCATATCTCAGCTTCCAAGGTTGCAACGGTTACGACGGCCCTGCGGGGCAGACCGCGCCCTCCCCCAAGCATAAGCCGACCCACAGCCAGCCAGCAGGGAGTTGCCCCCCAACGAATGACGCACCGCTGGTGGGGAGAGACAATCCCAGCCTCCCTCCATCTTTCAACCACCTTGTTTCCCGACCCGCAGAGGCAAGCCAGGGTGCGAATCGGTTGGGTCAGCAACCCCCCCAAAGCCTTTCCTTCTCCCCCCACCACCCAGCAAGTTTAAGCAGAAATCTGGTTTCGTCATCCTTGCATTCCAGACTTTTGCCAGAGATCAGCTAAGGACGAGTCTCGGTGGAAAGAGCCAGGATACAACGAAGGGGAAGGAAAAAACTGCTTTAGGAAAGCGTCCAAATTGTCTTAACTTTCCAGAAGGGTCCAGCCGGCAGCCTTCACAGGGCCGGGTTTTTTTTTGGGGTGGGGGCATAAATATTTATTTATTTATTTATTTATTTTTATTAAATTTGTATACCGCCCTTCTCCTGCTGGACTCAGGGCGGTGCACAGCCAAAAATAAAAAAACATTCCAATACAGAATTTAAATTTTTTAAAAAAGAATTACACAACTTTGGCCCAAAATAACCAGTAATTCTGGTAAATAACCAGAATTACTCCGTTTTCTCACCCTTCTCAAGCGCCAGACAAAACCACATTCTCATTTTCTCCCCTTTCCTGGTTTATGGAGCTGTTCCTAGCCTCAGATTGCTAAATCCCTTCTTTCGGTCTCTGTCGCTTTGCAAACTATTTTGCAAACCAACCGAGTTGGAAGGGACCTTGTAAGGTCATCTAGTCCAACCCCCTACCCCCCTCCAGCCAAGCAGGAGACCCTACACCATTTCTGACCGACGGCAGTCCAGTCTCTTCTCGAAGGTCATGAGGGATGAAGCTCCCATAACTTCCAAAGGCAAGCTTGAATTCCCACAATGCCCCGGGGGCAATGCTTACATCAGCAAAGGGCATGATGGGAAATTTTAACGACAACAGTAGCGTCCAACTTTTAAGACCTGTGGACTTCAACTCCCAGAATCCCCCCAAGCCGGCTTTGGCTTGGCCGGCTGGGGAATTCTGGGAGTTGAAGTCCATAGATCGTCCAAATGGCCAAAGGTTGGACACGCCTATTCTACAATCTTCTCATGTCTGGGTCTGTAAGGCCAACTTAGAAAATAGAGAGAGAGAGAAAGAGAGGATAGGGATGGTGGATAAATTAGAAGCATTATTCCTATTTTTTAAAAAAATTAATTATACCCTTGAGGGTCTTTTGAAGGGGCGTGCTAACCAATTTAGGCGGACGGCGGTGTGGAGGGTTGGTTGGCTGTACAGATGTTCACGGACCACAAGGCCAGAGCCAGGGAAAAGGAGGCCGGGAGTAATGCACATCTGGGCAGGGAGCTCAGAGATCCTACCCGCCCCTCCCCGCTCCCGCCCCCAAAGGCAAGGGGCACATATAAAGTTATCCGACTCTTGAAAAAGACAGCTGACCAACATCGAAGAGCCGGATAGCCGTTTCAGAAGAAAAAGCTGGCTGTTTCACTCAATCGTAGCTTGTTTGGCAACGCTTTAACTGTACAAACCCAACATTGGCTTGGGGTTGCGCCAGATGTTAACTCAGCCATAACAGTGGGGTGCCGTGCAAAGGCAGTTTGTGGGTGTGGGTGTGTGTCAAAAGGCAGCAAATCAACTGTGGCCCTGTGGAACAGTGACCAAAGAAACCCTGCAAACATCCAGACAGCCAGCAGAGGGCGCCAAAACCATATCTTTTACGCGGCCACCTAGCGGCTGTCTGGAGAATCGCAGCCCAGCTCTTATAAGCTAACTTCTAAAACCCGCTTTTCTTTGCCAACTTGGGTTGCAGAAAGATCTTGGCAAAAGGGGTCAGGAGAAGACCCTCCCAACGCTCAAGGACTACAAGTCTCATCGTCCCTTTAGCAGCAACATGGGAGTTTCAGTCCCAAACGATAAGGCAACGTTCCCCCCAACCCCAAAAAGGCCAACAGAAATGGGAGAGAAAGGGAAAGGGAAAGAAAGAAAGAGAGAGACAGAGAAGGAAGGAAGGAAGGAAGAAAGGAAAGGAGAAAGAGAGAGACAGAAAGAAAGAAAGGAGAAAGAGAGAAAGAAAGAAGGAAGGAACGAAAGAAAGAGAAAGGAAGGAAAGAAAGGAGAAAGAAAAAGAAAGAAGGAAGGAAGGAAGGAAAAAAGGAAAGGAAAGGAGAAAAAGAGAGAGAGAAAGAAGGAAGGAAAGAAAGAAAGAAAGAAAGAAAGAAAGAAAGAAAGGAGAGACAGAGAGAGAAAGAAGGAAGGAAGGAAAGGAAAGAAAAGAGAAAGTTGAATTGACTTGAATTGAATTAATCATATTTCTATGCCGCCCAACTCCCAAGGGACTCTTGAAAGAAAGAAGGAAGGAAGGAAAGAAAGGAGAAAGAGAAAGAAGGAAGGAAGGAAGGAAAGAAAGGAGAAAGAGAAAGAAAGAAGGAAGGAAAGAAAGGAGAAAGAGAAAGAAAGAAGGAAGGAAAGAAAAGAGAGAGAAAGAAAGAAAGAAAAAGGAGAAAGGGTGGGGGAAGAGAAGAAAGGACGGGAACACCGGGCGAGGCGGAGAAGGGCGTGGGAACCCTGGAGGTCATCCACGCGGCCAGCCCAGACCTTTTGCAAAAGCCGCGTGCGAAAAGGAGAGAATCCTCCCCACCGTTTCCACGTAGAAGAGAAGTTAAACCCACAAGCTTGGGCGTTTTCCAGAGAGCCCCCCCACCCCCCCCACCCCACCCCAAGGTCACCTGGGGGTCCCCTTTTCTCCCCTGTCCTTCCCCCCCCCCCACCCACCCCAAGACTTACCTTCCTCCGCGGAGTTGTGGCTGCGAGCGCTGCCGGATTAAGCAAAGCCGCGCCTTACTCTCGCCTCCCACGCCCGGCTCTGGCTTTTTAAGGCTGATGTCAGCGCTCCTCCGAGGCGGCGACGCCTCCCCCGGGGGCAGGAAAAAGAAAAAAAAAAGAAAAAGAAAAGAGAGAGAGAGAGAAAAAGAAGAGAAACTCAAGGGGAAGAATCGGGAGAGGCTTTCAAGGCGCAAAGTGCCAATTCCTTTCCATGGAGGAAAAAAAAGCCTTTAGAGAAGAGCTTACTCCGGAGTAAACCGCAGGAGAGCGGCTTTGCAGCGGCGGTTGCTCTCCAGGAGAGGGATTTGTAGCAGTTAACAGAGCTGGGAAGGGGTCTTGGAGGTCATCTAGTCCAGCCCCCTGCTCACAGCAAGGAGACCGGTGCTAGGGATTCGAACCGCCGGACTTTTGTGATCGACAAGCGCAGCGTCTTTAGTCCCCGAGCCCCCCGAGGAAAGGAAGGATTACCCTTGATGGACACACACCCATTTGTCTGAAATGGGATTGGGCTGCAGGGGGTCGGACTAGAAGACCTCCAAAGACCCCTTCCGAATTCTGTTATTCTGTTAAACCCGTTTAAAAAGAATTTAATGCCTTGTGTGTCCAATCACACTTGGCCAATAAAGAATTCTATTCTACTCTACTCTACTCTACTCTACTCTACTCTATCCCAGAATCTTATTGTCTTCTTCTTCTATTTCTATTTCTTTTCTCTTTCTTTCTTTCTTTCTTTTCTTTCTTTCTTTCTTTCTTTCTTTCTTTCTTATTTATTGGTTTGATTTATATGCCACCCTTTCTCCGGAGACTCAGGGCGGCTTACAATGCATTAAGCAATAGCCTTCATACTTTTGTATATACCTGCTTAGTAGGGCTTTCGGCCCCCCCAAGCGGTGTTCTTTTTTTATACAAAGTCAATTTATTGCCCTCCACAATCCAGGTCCTCATTTTACCTACCTCGGAAGGATGGAAGGCTGAGTCAACCTTGAGCCTGGTGAGATTTGAACTTGCAGTAATTGCAGGCAGCTGGTGCTACTTAACAGTGCTTTAGTCTGCTGCGCCACCAAGGCTCATTATTTCTATTTCTATTTCTATTTCTATTCTATTTAGTGCTTTCGAAGTTGCTGAACTACAATTCCCAGCATCATGGGGGGGGGGCTTATTCTTGGGGAATTGGGGGCATGGCGTGGGTCAATCACATCTGGAAGGGGGAGGCCTGACAAACTCCCCCACCCCCCCCCACCCCCAAGAGTCAACATACAGCTTTGCCGCCCTTCGTTCCGCCCCTCCTGTTTTCTCGGGCCAAATCGACTCCTCCCCTCCAAATCTTCTAGTCCCTAAGGTTGCACAATTCGGCTCCGATCCCTGGGGTTCGTCAGAAACGACGTCCCTGCGCCATCCTTAAACCGTTTTGTAGCCTGAAGTGATGCAACCACGGTTGCCTCAGTAGAGATAAGAAGACGAGTTGGTGTATATCTCTTTTTCCGATCCAGAGGCAGTGAATTTTTAATAATCCCTGCCTGCCCGGGCAGTTAAGCATCACACATCCGCCGGGAAGGATGGGATACGAAACCTCGATGTGGCTCGGCTATTTGGCCACGGGTCGTTTAAATCCCACCGTCTCTTTCTCCGGAAGAGACCAAACAGTCATTTGCCTGGAATGAGATGGGGGTCTCCTCCTTAAACAAGGGGGTTGGACTAGAGGACCTCTGAGGTCCCTTCCATCCCGATTGAGTCCAACATTTCTGTTGCTACGTGAGTTAATGTTTAACTGCATTTCGCTTTGCTTTATAGACTTTTCTCGCCACCGTTGTTAAGCGAATCACTGCCGCGGTTTAAGTTAGAAACCCGGTTGTAAAGTGAATTTGGCTTCCCCACTGACTTGGCTTGTTAGACGGTCGCAAAAAAAGGGGATCACGCGATCACGGAACACCGCAGCCATCGTAAATGTGAATCGGTTGCCAGGATGTCCGAATTTTGATCAAGTGACTATGGGGACGCTACAGCGGTCGTAAATGTGAAAGGCCGATCATGGGTCACTTTTTTTCCAATGTCATTTCGGTCACTAAACAAATGGGTTGCTAAGTCAAGGACTACATACATGTATTGTATGTTGTATGACTTCTACATGGTCTTTTTCATCTCTAGACCAAGCCCCTCCCCTATCCCCTCCGCCTTCCAACTTCTCTCATTTTGTTCTATTTTTAATCCTGATCTTTTTTTTTTTCACAAAAAGTATTTTTTCAGTCAGGCTCAAATCCCCTGGGCTGAGCTAAATATGTACGCGCTTGGCTTGAGTGCTTATTTGCCAGAATAAAACGGTTCCCTTCCCAGAAGGAATTCCTGGTGGTCTCCTTTCCAATCAATAAATTAGCCGCCAGCTCTCAAACGGCTGAAAGACTTAATCTGATTTACCAATTTGGGGCCCTTTCAATTTGGAGCATCTTGTGTGGGTCATGGATATGTGACATACACAAAGCCACAACGGGAAGATCCGAAGATTAGGCAAGCCATCCTGGACAGGTTGTGGGAATGCAATGATTCGAACTTTCTCTGAGCCGATTGAAACGCCTCGCACAACGGCGAGAATCCTCTCGGCACAAAAACGAAGATCCTTTTAATTCCCACAATTACGGAATTACCGGTTGCAAAAGCTGACGTGAGTTATCAGAAGTGGTTAAATTGTTGGCTTTAAATTAAAGAAATACGATTCATTTTGTTTTCTACTTGGGAAACCGTTTCTGGACTTTGTGCTTGAGGTGGGGAAAAAAAATATGAAAAAATTTGATTTTGGGTTCTGCGGATTAGATAAGGTTTGCTGATGTGAGTTATCAGAAGCGGTTAAATTGTTGGCTTTAAATTAAAGAAATACGATTCATTTTGTTTCTACTTGGGAAATCGCTTCTGGACTTTGTGCTTGAGGTGGTGGTGGGGGGGAGAGGAAAATTTTGATTTTGAGTTCTGCGGATTAGATAGGTTTGTCGGTATAGAAATGGCTGGTATGTATTACTATGCAAAAGTAAAAGTGGAGGTTGCAAGTTGTTATTTTACTGCTAAAAAGAATCAAAAGTCTTTTTTTTTCATTCTTCCCTCTTTTACCTGACACCTTTTTTCTCTTCCATTTTTCCTCCCCTACTCTTCCCATTTTTTTCCTTTGTATTTGATGTTTCGATAATTATATATGTATGTATGTATGTATGTATGAAGTAAAAGTTATTATCTTATTTTACTGCTAAAATGAATCGAAAGTCGATTTTTTTCTTTCCTCTTTTACCACTTTTTTCTCTTCCAATTTTTCCCCCCTTTGTATTTGATGTTTCGATAATTATACACACATATATATATATGTATGTATGTATGTATGTATAAAGTGAAAGTTGAGGTTGCAAGTTATTATCTTATTTTACTGCTAAAATGAATCGAAAGACTATTTTTTTCTTTCCTCTTTTACCACTTTTTTCTCTTCCAATTTTTCCCCCCTTTGTATTTGATGTTTCTATAATTATATATATATATGTATGTATGTATGTATGTATGTATGTATAAAGTGAAAGTTGAGGTTGCAAGTTATTATCTTATTTTACTGCTAAAATGAATCGAAAGTCGATTTTTTTCTTTCCTCTTTTACCAGACACTTTTTTCTCTTCCAATTTTTTTCCCCCTTTGTATTTGATGTTTCGATAATGATATATATATAAAAGGAAAAGAAATGCGTTTTGCAAACAAGGACTGAATCCTCACAAGGAAATGCTCCCTCCTTTCCCCTCCGGGCAGCTCCGGCCTTCCTCCATCCCTTCTGGGATGCACGTCACTTGCAAGACAAAACCAAATTTGGGAAGACAGGAAACCAGTTCAAAAAAATACCTCCCCTCCTCCTCCCCCAAGCGCCTGGGTCATCCAACCTCAATCCTGTCTCTCTACTGAGCAGCGAATGAAACCGATTCAGCCATGAGAAAAAACTTTCCCAGCATAAATTAGCCCCGTAAATGATCCCAAGTTTCTAAAAGTTTTGGGGCAGCTTGAAAAGTTTGCTAAAACTGCCGTGTTATTTTGTTTTTTTCCTGGCTGAAGGGAAAGGGGGGGTGAGGGAGAAGAATTAAGCCAAAAAACAAAGAATTAAGCTAAAAACAAGAAGTACCACCCCTTTTGGGTAGGCTTGCATTCCTTAAGGCAGACGTCAGGTTTCAGCTATGCAATTCCCAATGACATAATTGTACCCCTCACCCTCCTTTCCCACATGCCACATGCCAGGGGGGACCAGCTCTGGGGATTAGGTCGTCTCTGGTGCAGCAACCCCCCTCCCCAAATCGGAAGGAGATGCTGGCTGGGAACAGTAACAGAGTTGGAAGGGATCTTGGAGGTCATTTAGTCCGACCCTCTGCTCACGCAGGAGATCTATACAGGAGAAAGAACAAAGGTTATCATTACTCTGGGCTAGGTAAAGGTTCCCCTCGCACTATGTGCTAGCCGTTCCCGACTCTAGGGGTGCTCATCTCCGTTTCAAAGCCGAAGAGCCGGTGCTGTCCGAAGACGTCTCCGTGGTCATGTGGCCGGCATGACTCAACGCCAAAGGCACATGGAAAACTCTGTTCCCTTCCCACCAAAGGTGGTCCCTATTTTTCTACTTGCATTTCTTTTTTATGTGCTTTCGAACTGCTAGGTTGGCAGAAGCTGGGACAAGTCTCGGGAGCTCACCCCGTTACGCGGCGCTAGGGATTCGAACCGCCAAACTGCCGACCTTTCGATCGACAAGCTGTTAGGAGCCTCCAAACTTGGCGATTTTCAGATTTGTGGGCTTCCAACTCCCAGAATTCCCTACTTTGGCAACCATCCTTGCCAATGGCCGGCCGGGGGATTTCTGGGAAGTTGAAGTCCACAAGCCTTAAAGTCACAGAGTTTGGAGACCTCCCCCACCCCCGTTTTGGCTCATCTAATTTGTCGAGCTTGAGCAAAATTGATCCCCACCCGGATCAATTTTGTCTACGCATTAGGATCCACTTGGCAACGGGCACATTATTTAGCACCGTCGCCCTGTCCTGGGATCGAGCGATCCCCCGTTTGCAGTCTTTCCAGCCAGCTTCCGATAAGCGAAGTCAAGGAGGGAAGAAGGCAGAT